GAAAACCGCCGGTTCCGGGCCGGGCCGGGCCGGGTTCGGTCCGGGTCCGGGCTGGTTCGACCCTTGGACATGTCTAGAGGCAGTGAGTCAGTCGAGGCGCCGATAGATGGCTGTGAGCCGATCGTCTGACCGTGGCGCATTCCCTACGCTCCACGAGCGTGATCGTGCGAGACAGTCAGGACCGATGTGTAGACGCCCCCGGGGACGGAAATTGGGGAAATACTCGTATATCCAAGACTGCAGAAGAGTTAAGCAGCCCGATATCTGGGTAGAGTCCCCACGGCTGGCAATACCTAGCTGTCTGTACATGTATGCGAGCGTAGCCGATCCCCATGAGTAACCCCCACTCAAATCTAAGCTGTCGAGCACCTCATGTAAGAGCTTGGGGGTCACTCTACTACCACTCTTGTCGACGAACAATGTGGTAGTTAGCATCACCCACATCCAGGCACCCGCCTCATCCCTAGCCGGCCGACCTTTCCCCCTGAATGCCCCGAAATGGCGGCTTTGGACACCGAACCACGCTGCCAGAACGAACTCGTGAGTTTGCCCTTGGTGACTGAAAGTATCGACATGCAGAGCCCATGGCAGGCGTCCGAATCCGGGTCCTCAGCGACCACGGATCCCTCCACAGGAACGCCCAAAATGGCCCGGACGTCGTGCAGCATGATGCTCATTTCACGAAAAGGCAGGTGAAACGAGTTAGTATCCGGCTGTCATCGCTCTACAAACGTAGAAAGGAGTGGGGTGTCCAAGTGGATGTGCATGGAGTCGGCCAAATGTGATAGCCCGGTCTGGTCGAGAAGAGCTCTTGCATCGGAAGACATCTCTTCACGCCAAGCCTTCAGATTCTCGACCGCTTTCAATCTGGTGTGGCATTTCAGCGGCCCCCTCAAATCTCCACTCCACATGCGGGAGGCGACGTGCCCTAGAAAGCTAGGGATGACACTCTCATCAATGGGCCCACCGAGCACTGGGCCTTTAACGATCCAGGGTGCATCATCATCGGTCCTAGCTCGTTTGCTAGTACCTGCATTAAAATACAACATATCTGTATATATTGACTTGCTGGTAGATACATTAAATAAAATATATTTAATAAAACATATTTCATAAGTTTCCTGTTCTATTTTTTTTCAATTAATGTACAAACGTTACATTTTACATTAATAAAATATAATGAAAATTTTAAACTAATTTATTATGTAACATTACTACTAATTGATTATAACAATAATAAAAATAATTATAATAATTTTTTAACTAATTAATTGTATGTTTCCTCTAAATTACAAAATAATTATACCGTAGTTGAGGAGCAGGCCTATAATACTTTTCTAACAGTACCGATAATTTGTTATGATTAAGTGAAAATAATTTATGTTAAACAACAATAAATACGTAAATTATTTACCTGATGAGGATGCAGATGGGCCAAAACGCCCCCCAGCCTGTCGTTGAGGAGCAGCCTATGTAGGACGAACAGCCTGTACCGGACGAACCTGCTGTAGAACCGGCTGTACCGGACGAACAAGCTGTACACGATGACAAGGGTGGCTAGGACCCGTAGACTGTGCGTGGTCCTGATTATCTGAGCAGTCGCCCGAGTCACACTCCTCTGAACCCTGCTCCCTCTCGCCGTACGACTCATCAGCATACCCCTGCTGACCATAGGGTAATGGTACGCGTGCGCGACTTCCCTGCGTAGCGGGGAAAAGCATATCGCGACTGATCGTACGGTCCTGGTGCCGGGGGCATCGAACTGCCTGCCAGGCCGGGATAATAAAATCCATGCTCACCGCACGGGAGGACTCCGTGGAGTCGCGAACTATCTGGCTGGCCCTCAAAATGATATCTCTACGGACCATCTCGCACAGGTGCGGGGGGTCTCGAACTCTGCCTAGCCTGACGAATCTGTACCTTCCGAGCCTCATCGATCATCGCCTGCCTTTCCATGTCCTTCTTCCGACGAACGGACGCATTGACACCCCGACTTTTAGTGTGTCGGGTGCCAGAACCATCATAATAGTCATCGAACGCCTCGTCGTCGTCCCTGGCATTAGATTGTCCAGGTCTGCCAACACCCTGAATCAGAAATATAATTATTAAATTTTTTCATATGTAATGACTATTCTAATAACTATTAAAATAGATTATAATTCATTTTTATTTTAGTATATACATTTTATTCATTATTATTATAATTATAATTGTTGAGATTTATAATAGTTATTATAATTTTTTATTTAAATTATTATAATTAATACTAATTTATAATTATTATTATATTTAATTATAATTATCATTACAAATTATTATTATTATTTCTTATAATATTATTATTATAAGCATTTATAATTTATAATTATTAATATTATTAATATTATTTTTAGAATTTATAATTAATTACAATTTATTCAACTTATTATTATTATAATATTTAATAATTATTATTATAATATATAATTATTATTATAATTTATAATTGTTATTATAATTATTATTATTACTAATAATTATTATTATTATATATAATTATTATTATAATTTATAATTGTTATTATAATAATAATAATTATTATTATTATTATTTTAATTAGAATTATTTATTATTATTATTATAATTATTATAAAAAATAAAAAATTAAAAACTCGTCACCGACCGGCGTTTCCGGACGATTTTTCGGCCTTCCGGAACCGACGACCGGACGGCCGCCGTCCGTCCGGAAACGACGGCCGAACGGCCGGTCAGATTCAAAAAAAAATCTTAAAATTTTTTCCGGCGTAAACAAAATAAAAAATTTACCTTGTTAGAGAAGTGTCCTTTGTCGAGGCCGTAGAATTTTTTCGACATTTTTTCGGATTTTTTTCGGTTCTCGAATCGCTCGTTGAAAGTTCGGAAATTTAGAGAGATAGAAAGTTTAGAGAAATAAGGGTTAAGGGCAAAAATGTAAATGGAAAGGGAGCGGTGACTAATAAAAGGGGCCCGATGAATAGCAATTGAGAATACAAAATAATATGCAAAGTTTTTTTGTATATCTGTTTTTTCCTCCCGCAATTTTTGTTGGCTGGCTCTGATAGTGAGAGTGTGCAGAAAACACCAGTAAGATAATATATAATTGATTGAATAATGCTGGGGTCATTTTTCACTTGCCCTCTATGTGAAGGCAATATATGAAGCAATGCATGATATAAAAATTTAAAACTAACACTTGATGCAGTGTTTTTTCCCTACATATGCGGTCCAGCTTGTGAATATCCTCTAGACCCCAAAATATCACTTGCATTTAAAGAAAAATAAATAAATTGATTTATCTCTGGCAATTTGACATCCCCCACCAGGTCAGAAAGGTAAGTAATAAAAACAGAGTGACTATACTGCAATTGAGAACTTTGTAAAAAAAAAGAAAAAAAAGATAAAGATAAAGAAAAAATTGTCACTTCAATTTCACTGCAATCACCAAGCTATGTTTGATAAAGTAAATATGAAATGGATGAACTGGGACATATTCAGTTCTTGTTGTTATTTATAGGCTAGATTACATATTAAATTCCAACCTTTGTGTAATTTACAATTTAATTTCATTTTTTCTTTTTTTTGGCAATAAAAGATAGGGGCTTTCCATTTTTTTCCAAATCGAAGCACATAGAGAAGCGATATCTTTCAAAAACAATTTGAAAATAAAAGGCGTGAGCAATATCGGTCTATACAAATCAACTATTGCCACTTAAAAGAATTATTTTTCACGGCAATAATGTTCTATATAAATAAGCGTTCAATTATATATAATTTTTATTTTCATAATTTTTTTATTGCCATGATGAGTATTTTTTTAGAAAAATTATATTAAATCTATCTTTTAATAATATACGATTGCCATTCTTATATTTTTTTTTTCCATAATGAGATATTTAATTATAAATAATTATATTTTAATTAAAATTAAAAAATAAAAAAAAAAAACTAAAAGAAAAAACTCGTCCATACATGGCACAAGTTGCTAAATGTATTTAAAGGGTTCATGAATGGATGCCATTTTCTTAGTAATAATTTTACATTGTATTTAATTAGATTTGACCAAATTAGACATGAAAAAGATGCCAATTATACAATTTTTTTTAATTACTCGAGGCTGCTTTTTCAGCAACTTTTGCCCTCATTTCTCGCAGCTGCAAACGGGACACCTTTTACAACTTTGAAAACCTTATGATTATAAGTCAATTATAAGTAATAGCGACTCACTTAAACTTGATTTGCTTCAAGTCTGAATGTCTGATAAGTTAAATAAAATTGATCAACTTAAAATAGAGTTCATTTATCTGTAAGTGCTCAGCTTGTGCTTCTATGTGAACAAACCCGTTTTCTACAAACTAGAAATTTTGTCCCCTGAATTAGTAGTAGTCCATGCTTTCCACTTCCCTGTTACCCCTTTATTTGCAAATTAACTTCTCTCCCTCTCTCTTTATTTTTTTTCCTTTAATTACAAGAAAAACAAGATGTCAATCTACCATGAATCCCTCTATTTAGCAAGGCTTTAATTTGAAAGGCGAAAGGAAACAAACGAGAAACATGCAGCGATAATATTCTAGAAAATAAGGTTTTTATGAAGGAAATGTGTTTTGGGATTCTCTTTTTTACATAATTGACATAAAAATATGTATAAAAACAATCTTTAGAAATTAGTAACTACATTTATA